CTGAAGTCTTAGAAACAGTCTTTTAAAAAGTTGACATTTGTACCATATAAAAGAAAAAAATAAATTAATTTTTAGAGAAATCAAATTTCCTTTAATCTAGCATTAGATACCAATGCTTATTAGCAAGATACGAAATTAGACATGATCTGTGATGTCTAGCAATGATAAAACAAGCTTTTTACACTATGTATTATATAACAACTGAAGTGAATGGAAGAAAAATACTGTATAAGCATAAAAAAGATGCAATTTTCTCCAGTGCCTGGATACCTTTATATTTTTATCCAAAAATATATTTGTTGATCAATTTTCAATTAGAAAATGCATAGCTGGCATTTTTATTTGCATTTCCTGAAAATATATTTGAGATTTGATTATTTTCCCTATATAATATGATTAACTTTAATTCTGAACTCTGAAGAAATACCATGGGTAAATTCATGTCACTCTGTGAAATCAGAGACATTTTTGTGAGCATTTTCAATTACTTGCAAGCTGATTTTCAGAACCTGCCGATCGGACTACCTTAATGGTGACTTAAAGACAACCATTAAGCCATCATTAAGGACCTATAAGCCACCATTAAGCCAAGTTTAAAGGTAGTGTTTCATCTTGTGATCTTTAAAAATCTTTTTCTCAAGAACAGCAAAGCCATGATTAGTTATATTAAAGGGTTTTTATCACGTATCTAAATTTCTTAAAAATGAAACACTATTATATTCTTGATACATATAATTATCGTTTAATTAATGAAATAATGTTGAAAACGGCCGTAATTAGACGATAAAATGCCCATAATATAGGGTCCTCGAAGTAAAAATCTCCACTAATTAGATAGGGGTCACGTGGTACTGAAACGTCATAGGTTTCAATGGTCAATAGAACTCGTAAGGCTTATCGTAAGAAAAAATATATTGAATAGATTTCTACGCTAAAAAAATAGAAAACACATTATGGCTGGTTGAAATTTTGACATCGACTATATTCCTTTGGTTATGGACGGTCAATCTTTTATGTGTGAACGTCTAGCAGAGAGAAATAACCAGAAAATACGCCGACAATAGGAGACGACACCAAGACGAAACCGTTGACAACTCGGGACTTCGACTAAATAGAACGAATTAATAAGTTTAAATTCTCCTTCATTATTATTTTAATTAATTATATATAAATAAATCCTGTATATCTTCTATCTGTTCTAGCAGTGAATATCATGTAATAGAAATGACACTTCTTCAATGGCGCCGTACGCCAATACGAAGTTCACAACATTCCTACTAGATTCTGTGCGACTTTTAAAAAATGCGTGTTTGTCATTTATTATTTTTTTTTAAAGGTATCTTTCTTTAAAATATTTTATAGGATAGAAAAAATTCGTGATCGATCGGGCATAAACGATTGTTCTGAATGGAGATATACACCATCGCATTTGCAGAAAAAGACCCCTCTTTCATCTCTCAACCAAGTCCAGGAAATATGGAAAAAACATCTTCCTAAAACCTTTCTTGTGCACATTTGTGCATCCTAAAGCCATAAATTATACCTTACTAGCTGTCAATTATCCAATTATCTCTTAATTATTTTCTAACAGGTTTAATAGACGCAACAAATGAGCCCTTTTGTATACACAATAAGTACTTCGCTTGACCAGGATTGACACCTATGATGTCAGAGCAATGGCGCGTAACATCGGCGATCAAAATATGCATATTGAGAAATTCAAACTTTGAATAGATGAAACATCAAAAATATTGATTTTCTAGCAAAATTTTTTAAATATATGATTTTAATAGCATGTAAACTTTGTCTTATCAAAAAATTTTGAGACGTGATAAAAACCCTTTAATATACAGTAAATTAAGCAGAATTTTTGGCAAGAATTCAATTTTGGCATTATTAATGAGGGTTTTGAGATCGCTAAAATTGAATACCGCTAAAAAATTTTGCTATATCGGTTGTTATAGATATCTTTCTTGACATTATAAAATTACTAAAATTACTTCTTACTACAAATATACACCCATTTGTGAGGATAAATCGCTAAATTTGCATCTCGCTAAAATCCACTTACATGATAGAAGCATCCCCAGGTAGTGTAGATTCAAGTTTGTTCAAATCATGACCCCCTGGAATAGGATAGGGCCATAATACAGTCCCTGAAAAGTTCTTTCCCATTTTTCCGTTCACTCACTGTTTGTTCACCGTTCGTTCAGCGTGCGTTCAAAAAACATATTAGAACTAGTTCTGAGAACCATACATAGTACTGTGGATATCCATTTAATTAAATATCTTTGGAGCTAATTGAATTGTTAGTATTGACAAAAAATATTTATTTAGATGTAATACGAGGGTTGTTCAGAAAGTTCGTGGACTTCTGTCATATCTTTTTTTATTTATTGTCTTATGTTACCCAAATTTGGTAGAAATATTTCAACAATAAATTCAAACGATTTGTATTAAAAATTATAAAAATATTAAGATTTATTTCAAACTTATCCAGAATTAAAAACTGCAAAAATCGGATCGCGGCACAGGTCAAAATTTAGTAATTTACGAACAATGCACTAAATAACGTCTGTAATCATAATCTCTGTAGAATTGAGCAAAACAGAAAAAAATTTCAGAGTTTAAATTAAGAATTGTTACATCGATTCATATTCCAAATTATGGCTTATTATTTTGCTTCGTTGAAAAGAAATCAATTTGAGAAGATAGGTAGTCCTCATTGAAATCGCCAAAAACGTTGACGTTGTAGAATGTCATGGAGCAGCAGATAACGATACAGTTTTGTGTTATACTCGGGGAAAATCCTAAATAAACTCTTAAAATGTTGGAGGAATCAGAAAATATTGTCTCAAGCTAGTCGTGCATGTGTGTGTAAATGGTACAGGGGGTATTTGAGTGACAGAGACTCTGTATCGGACGAAGACAATCTGTGAAGAAAGGGTTTAACTGTAAAAAATCTGAACAAAAACTTTAAAAAGTTGGAACGTCATGGAAAGACATGGGGGCTTCAGAGTTGCTGATCTTGTGAAAGCACAGTTTAGCGGTAAAAGAAATTAAAACATTGACAAAGGAAATGAACCAACGAGAACAACTGTTAGAAAAATAAATGTCAAGTGTCAAAAGGTTTTTAATGAGTGGGTATTGATTCTGTATGAAATGTATAGGGATAGTATTTTTAAGAACCTTTGACACTATGTTTTTGACGTTACATTGTTGTTAAGTGTGCTCCTTGGTTACAAAACATGTTGATTTTAAAACGAAGTAAATTGATTACTATTAAATCGAATGGAATGAAACTTTACACATCAACAAAACAAATATTTTTACACATAATATTGTGCTTATTTTAAATTTTTTGCAAGTAGTATTACCAAGATTGACATCATCCACGAACGTTTCGAACAACCCTCGTACACTACAATATTTTTTCTACTTTACATATACAAAGTCTATTGTTAGAGAGAAAAAATTCCTTCCTTCACAATGAATTTATATATTTGCCATTTGATTTGATTTAGACCCCCTCCCCTTTTTCCACCTAAATCGGTTACTTAGTCAGTATGTTTCAAATTCATTCCAAGTGTTTATACCCAATGTATTTTATTTATAAATTTATTTTTTGGAAAAGTTGGAATCAGATCTAGAAATGATAAAAAATGTTAAAACTTCTTAGAAATACTTCAGTGTACATGTAGCACTTCGCCTTTGGATTGACGAGACTTTCACACCTGCACAGTGTCAAATGATTTTGATTGACAGGACAAGCACGTGGACTTTGTGTGAACTTGAAGCAGGAAAATAAAAACCAATTATGACTGTCGAACAAAATGAATCTGTTGATAAAAAAAGGTTTATTTCACTGCCTGATATATTTAGATAAAAATTAAAAAGTTTTGTTTATACAGGTACGTGCATTTGTGGAAAAAGGGGGGGGGGGGGAATGAAATCTCTCTCTCTCTCTTTCAAAACTATGACAGCATATTACTTCGATATCAAGTTCTGAAATTTTAATTTATAACAAATAATATGAATGCTTCTTTGTATCATCTTGTCTTAGTACCCGGTATAATCACGGGGAATTTTCTACAGATACATGTAGAAGTCTGCTTAATAAATCATCATAAAAAAATGAAAAGACACATATTAAATATATTATTATTTTTTTAAATACGAGTGTATTTATGCAATACATCCACAGACCTTTGCAAAATATTTTTGATTTTTTTTCTCATTATTTTACAAAAATACATGCATGGTTGTTACAACCGTTTTAATTTTGATCCTCTTCGAAAATCATTATTTGTAATGGTTTTATACATAAAATAAGAATAAACATTTTTATTTTACAACTGGAATGATTTTATATTTTAAACAACAGCTTTCGATAACAATTACAATGCTTTACAGCGATAAAAATCGTGTGATTAAACAGCTGAATTTAAACATCATACACATATGCAGAAAATGTACGAAACTTAATTAATAGTTTTACTTAATGTGCATGTTTCCTCATTCTAGGACAATTTTTGAACATTTATTTATTTATTTTTGCACCTGACTTTAGAATACAATAGAATAGATACAATGCATGTAAAAGATCAGAGGCATTCTGAATAAATCGTTCATCTTGCGTTCACCGTTCACTAATTGGGCTCGTGTTCACACTTCATTCGCATTCTGCATTCGCTAACCGTTCTACTATTGTTCACCAAGTTGCGTTCAGCATTCACACATTGTTCACTCACCGTTCGCTCTGCGTTTGCTCAGCGTTCGCTCACCGTTCAAGTTGGAAAGTAGAACGTTTCAGGGACTGTATGTAATCAAAATTTTACATAAGAATATATAGGAAAAAAATGAATGTTGATGAAGAAGGGCCTCTTAAATTGATGTATTAAACTTGTTCATAATATCCAGCAAACTGTCCCTTCTGTTTGTTTTCACCAACCGTTGTAATCTTGGTAATCTAGGAATGAAAGCTACCCGACTTTTTCCAGATGAGTGACCATACAGGTTAAAGTTTATGATTTATTGAAGTAGGTTCATTCCAATGTAAAGCCCTATAAACTTGCATTGATGATGCATGTACGGATGCACACTTCCAGACTTGCTTCAGATGCTGAATCTTATGTAATTTTCTGGATGATTAAACAGAAAAAGTTTTTGGAGCAAGTCCATGCATTCCAAATTCCTACCCAGACTAAACTTGTATAATGTTTGTCCAGGGATGCACACTACCCAAACATTCATTTTGTTTGAAACTTCCATACTTATAGATAACATTTATGAGGTGAGCTAGCTAGTGTGTAATCTTTTATTACCTATGTTTGCATTTCACAGATATTTTTTCATTGAAATTTTTTTTTTTGGTCAACAGCCATACCAGAGGTTTACAGATGTGATTTTGAAGCCAGCTCATGGACATCTGATTGTTCTTTACAACAGTATGGTGGTTCAACATACTGGTATCACTCTGTAAGTATCTTTCATTCTTTTCCCCAAAAACAGCTTTCACTGTGATGAGATTTAATTTTTTTTAATTTTGGCTAAAATTGGCTAAATAATTTTATAATTTTACATTTGGCCATCAAATTTTATATAATACATCTATATAGGGAAATCGCTTACAAAATCTTCCCCAGAATAGCAAGTAACATATTGATCTTCAGAATTCCTATGTAGTGAGGATTCAAGTTTGGTTAACTCATGGCCCTTTGGGGCTAAACTGTGTGAACAGGGCATAAAAATGTGTCACCATACTTGATTATAAATATGCATATAACAGTACATTTATATGAAATGCAAAATAGCCTTAATTATTCTATATTTGATAATTTAATCCAAGTCTAACCTAAGATATTCCAAAGTTTGTAATGGTTCTCACTAAATTCAAGATACTGAAGTTAACTGTAAATGTAGAGATTTCCTTATCCCTGCATGATCATGTATCAGACAAACTTGATACATTGTCTCAAGAAATTCCGTACCAAAATTGTAAGATACATATCAGGGGGTTCCAAAATTCTGAGATGTTTTTATGTTGAGAAAGGAATGATCCCCAGGTGACTACCAAGGTCTGTGGGCCTCTTGTGACAACATTAAGGAGTTTTACTGAAGACTGAAGCATATATGCGTTTATTTTTTTTTCTGTTTTCAGACTTACACTTCTACATCAGGGACTGGTCCAGGCTATGCACATGGAGGCAGATACTTTATTTATCTAGAATCAGACTACACTATTACTGGAGGAAATGCTGTTCTTTCTGTTAACCCAAACTTAAATTTCAGTGAGTAGATCAATTTCTACTTGTTTGTTAGCCTAGCCATACTGTTTGATTTTCAGTTTACTTTTATCTATTGATAATTTACTTTAATGTTTATAGATGGTACAAGTTGTATGGTGTTCTATTACTTCATGTATGGAAGCACTATGGGAACTTTACAAGTGAACCAAACATTACAAAACGGCAGAGCAGAGATCATCTGGCAGAGACAAGGGAATCAGGGATATGAGTGGAAACAAGCCTATGTCACCCTCAAGGGACTTAATAAAAATGTAGGACTATATTACAAAAAACTTAATGGAGAATAAAGGGGGGGGGGGGGGGACTGTGTGTGTGTGCATTAATAATGAAAAGTGTTTTTTGTGTGTGTATATGTATGTGTGAAGTCATTTCATTTGAAAAGTACCTTACTCTTGAGAATTACAACTATGAAAAATATATTGCTATATTGACCTGTGACTCTTTCCTACCTGTTAATCAATTAGTCATATCAAAATACACATTCATTTTCAATTTTTGTTCTTTTTCAGTGACATAAAACTGGTTTATATTTTCATGCATTTTTTAGTTCACCTGAGCTGAAGGCTCAAGTGAGCTTTTCTGATCAAAATTTGTCTGTCATTGTCCTAAACTTTTCACATGTTCAACCTCTTCTCAAGAACCAGTGGGACAATTTCAACCAAACTTGCCACAAAGTATCCTTGGGTAAAGGGGATTCAAGTTTGTTCAAATGAAGGGCCACACCTTCTTCCAAGGGGAGATAATTATGATTTTGTGAAAAATTAATGGCATCATTTAAAAATCTATCTTCTTCTCCAGAACCACTGTGCTTGAAAACATGAAACTTATGTGGAATCATTGTGAGGTAGTGAAGATTTAAATTTGTTCAAATCATGACCTTCTGGGGTAGGATGGGGCCACAATGGGGGTTCAAAGTTTTACATAGGAATGCATAAGAAAAATCTTTAAAAATCTTCTCAAGAACATCAGAGCCATGATTGGTCATATTTTAATGGAAGCATCCTCAGGTAGTGTAGATTCAAGCCTGTTCAAATTATGGCCCCCAGGGGTAGGGTGGGGTCACAGTGGGGGGTAAAAGTTTTACATAGGAATACATAAGAAAAATCTTTAAAAATCTTCTTCTCAAGAATAGCAAAGCCACGATTGGTCATAATTATATGGAAGCATCCTCAGGTAGTGTAGATTCAAATAATTTCAAATCATGACCCCCGGGGGAAGGGCGGGGCCACAATAGGCAATCAAAGCTTTACATAGTAATACAAAGAAAAAAAATTTAAAAACCTTCTCAAGAACAGCAAAGCCATGATTGGTCATATTTATATGGAAGCATCCTCAGGTAGTGTAGATTCAAGTTTATTCAAATCCTGACCCCTGGGGGTAGGGAGGGGAGTCCACAATAGGCGATCAAAGCTTTCCATTGTAAAACGTAGGAAAAATGCTTAAAAAAAATCTTCTTAAGAACATCAGGACAATGATTGGTCATATTTATATTGAAGCATCCTCAGGTAGTGTAGAGTCAAGTTTGTTCAAATCATGACCCCCAGGGGTAGGGTTGTGCCACAATGGGCAATCAAAGTTTTACATAGGAATACATAGGCCAAATCTTTAAAAATCTTCTTCTCAAGAACAGCAAAGCTGTGATTGGTCATATTTATATGGAAGTATCCTCAGGTAGTGAAGATTCAAGCCTGTTCAAATCAGGCCCCCTGGGGGTAGGGTGGGGCCACAATGGGGGATCAAAGTCTTACATAGGAACAATAGGAAAACATCTTCTTCTCAAGAACTGCAAAGCCATGATTAGTCATTTTGATATGGAAGCATCTTCAGGTAGTGTAGATTCAAGTTTGTTCAAATGATGACCCCCAGGGATAGGGTCGGGCCACAATGGGGGATTGAAAATTTTACATAGGAACACATAGGAAAATTTCTACTCAAGAACAGAATATCCTGTTTAGTCATTTTGATATGGAAGCATCCTCAGGTAGTGTAGATTCAAGTTTGTTCAAATGATGACCCCTGGGGGTAGGATGGGGCCACAATGGGGGATTGAAAGTTTTTAGGGATGTCAACGAGTACCCGGTTAACCGGGTACTCGATCGAACGTCCGAGTATCGAATACTAAAAATGGTACTCGGTAACTCGGATGTGTATTTTTTTCTTATTTCAAAGTACATATTTTTATCAAAAACTTTTCAAAAAATAACTTAAATATGAACACGGTAATTAGTGTGTTGTCATCTACACCCGTAAAACACCCGTTATCGCCTGTGGCTGTGTATATATAGTAATTAGTGACCAATCATTTGGTACACAGCTTTTCTCACCTATTGTGATCCTTAATTTTTAGATGGCTTCAATGATTGTTTTCAGTGAACATCGTTTACGTATGGTCTATTACCTTCAAATCATTTTTAAATTATTTAATTAATATACGACAGCGAAATCGGACATTCATAACCCACTTCACAAGTGAAGAAATATTTAGAAATAATTAAAGATTTTAAAAAATGCTGAAAGTCAGTTTGCGTAGTAAGTTAATTGTATACGGAGGAAACAACCAGCAAATGAAATAATATTAGACTAGCGATCCCAACAATGTCCGTTCCTTCTCTTTCGATAGTCTAATCATCACAAACCTGCGTAACAACTTGTCCTCCTTTTGCGTTCATGAAATAGATCCTAAACAATACTGTAAACCATTTGTAATTTTTGATGTATTAATTGTATTTTGTGTTTATTTGATAAATAAATTAAGTACCAAAAAATCATTTCCCTTGGACTCGATGTTTATATACATTAACAAACGTGATAAAAACAGCTTTGGGGTTTAGCAGAGCTTAACGGGGCTCAAGAAAATTAACACACTTGTATTTACATTTTTGTTACCGAGTACCCGGGTACTCGATCGGAAAAACGTCCGAGTAACCGATTATCAAAAAGTGACCGATTTGACATCCCTAAAAGTTTTATATAGGAACATATAGGAAAAAAAATTTCTTATCAAGAACAGAAAAGCTATGTTTAGTCATATTGATATGGAAGCATCCTCAGGTAGTGTAGATTCAAGTTTGTTCAAATGATGACCATTGGGATAGGGAGGAGCCACAATGGGGGATCAAATTTTTATGAAGGAATATATAGGCAGAATTTTTAAAAATCTTTTCAAGTACAACAAAGCCATTTGTTATTATGACATGTTGACATGAAAGCATCATCAGGTAGTTTAAAATTCAAGCCCCCCTTCCCCCATTTTCAGTTTGCTATAAGTATAATTATTATATCCAGTAATTTCATTATATGTTTAAAACAACAGGGACTGAAAATGACCTCACTGTAAGTATGAATTCATTATAGGCATGTTCGCTAGCTGTAACCATATTTTACTGTACTTGACCTTTCCTTCTCAGTCTTGCTACAGAAATGTGTCCAGGGACACCTTCCTATTCATTTATTGATTGTGACTGTTTATGGTCATGATGTTCCAGAGTAAATACAGAGCCAACCCAAACTTAATTCAAACTCTTACATGGTAGACACCAAAGAAACACTGCACTGGGTTTGATTTTAGGGTGTTCTTAGGTGGCAGGGTTTGATTTTAGGGTGTGCTTTGGTGGCAGGATTTTATTTAGGGTGTTCTGTGGTGACAGGGTTTGATTTGAGGGTGTGCTACGGTGGCCGGATTTGATGTTTGGGTGTTCTGTAGTGACAGGGTTTGATTTGTGGGTGTGCTATGGTGGCAGGATTTGATGTTAGGGTGTGCTGTAGTGGCAGGGTTTGATTTGAGGGTGTGCTATGGTGGCAGGGTTTGATGTTAGGGTGTGCTGTAGTGGCAGGGGTGTGGTTATGGTTCTACTCCCTTGGAACTGTAACTTTATAATTGTCCACATTAATTTTCAGGTCACTATAGAAGCTGTGAGAGGGCCAGGCTTATATTCAGACATAGCAATTGATGATTTGTACATCTTCAATGGGACATGCAACCCTTCTCTGTGCAGTCTGTATTCAGAGCCAAGTGTAAACTGTACTTTTAATGGAGCATCCTGTAACTATAGCAGCACAGGCTCTGACTCCCAGTGGCAGATCCATGGATTGTACAGTTATGGAATAGGTCTTCCAGACGATCATACATCTGGCAATGGTGAGAGAACTATTGTTGAAGAATGAGATTTGAAGTTGAAAATTTTTTCAAAGAATTTTGTGAATAAGCACAAAGATTGAATGATATATTTTAGGATCAATAATGAATGTAGAAGTTTAAAACTTACCTTTTTTGACAGTATAAAAGTCTAACTGCCAGAAACCATGACTACAGAGTGACGATTGAAAAATGATTTAAAAAAATAAATCTGTTCTAATTGTATTGAAAAAGTTTTTGGTGATGAGCTGTCACATTGTCAATGTAAACAGATAACAGGTATGTGAGCTATATAGTTGATCATGAAATTTTCTTTTAACTAAAAGGTTCTTTCATGTACTACCAAAACTTGAATGGAAATGAAGGTGACAGCGCTACTTTAAAGTCACCCAACTTTTCATCGCCTGCAAATGCACACTTAAGATTTTACTACCACATGAATGGAGCCATGACAGGGCACTTCACAGTGTGGGCTGAAGATGGAGAGGGGCGGCGACTGGGGGACGTATTACTCCAGAAACAGGGAGAGCAAGGAAACCACTGGTACAGCTTCTGCTCAGCAATACCATCTAACACGGAAATGTCACTGATTTTCAAGGCCACTCGAGGCACACAAGGACTTAATCACATCGCCATTGATGATGTTGTGGTGGACAGTGAGAATTGTCCCTGTAAGTTAAGTACAGTCAAAACTCTGTTATCTCAGTCTTGATGGGGCCGAGAAAAAACTTAGAGATATCTGAAGGAAGATATTGAGGTTAAAATACAGGTGGTTGAAAATGCCAAAATCACTTCCAAATATCCATGGTATTCTAATACTAAGGTTCGAGATTTCAGAGTTCATATAGGGCAGGAAATTCACGTAGAATAGAGATACAATATTTTCTTTTATTTTTAAACTGAGAAATTGTTTCATGAATGATTGAAAATGGGAAGGATAAAAGGAAATGTATGAGTAAAAGTAAATGAAACATGTCATCTTTAGATCTACCGGTACTTTATTATGTTAATGGAAATTTTATAAATTGTTAATTTCATGAAAATAAACTCTTAGAAAGAAAACATTTTAATTTTTTTAGATGGCTTAAAAGATGCAGTTTGTGACTTTGGACAACCTGACATTTGTGGCTACTCGGTGAATTGCACAGAATGTAAGCAAGAGTTGCCATCCTTCAAATGGAGACGAATGTTGGGAAGAACAGCCAGCATAAACACAGGTCCAAATAAAGATTCCACACGTGAGACAGATCAAACAGGTTAGTTTAAGCTATCTTAAGAGATACATGCATAAACACAGGTCCTAATGAAGATTACACATGCAAGACAGATCAAACAGGTCAATTTAAGCTATCTCAAGAGATAATGTAGATTTTATTTCACACACAATTTAAAGCAGTAATTCAATGTTATTAGTTTTTAGCTCTTCTGAGCCAAAGGCTCAAAGAGCTAATGCTATGGCCATTTGTGCGGTGTGCGTAAACTTTTTAGAATATGGGCCATAACTCAAGAACTCCTTGGCCAATTATTGTCAAATTTGTCACAGGGTATCCTTGGCCCAAGGGCTCCCTTTTATACTAAAACTGGGATTGTTGTGACCCTTTAACAAGGGGAGATAATTAGGAAAATAGAAACAAAAGTACTGGTTGCTAAAAAATCTTCTTCTCAAGAACCACTGGGCAGATTATCACCAAACTTGCACAAAAGGATGAGGATATGTTGTAGATTAAAATTTGCACAGGGATTTACCCTGGGGCAAAGGGCGTGGTCTCAAGGTCACTTCAAAGTTGACCAAAAATTACATTTTATTAAAATGTTGATATTTTGCTTACTATAAGGACTAGGATCATCAAATCTTGTCAGTTGGTGCATCTAAGGACCTCATATCATGTTGACTCAAAAGTAGGTCACGGTGACCTACTTTTTAAATTTTGCGGCCATTCTTTTTCAAAATGATTTAGAGGTATATTTTGAACAATTTAAGGCCTATGATCATCAAACTTTGTCAGTTGATGCATCTTGGGTCCTCAAAGTACATCAACTAAAAAGTAGGTCACCTTGACCTACTTTTTGAATTTTATGGCTAATCATTTTTAGCTCACCTGAGCCGAAGGCTCAAGTGAGCTTTTCTGATCACATTTTGTCCGTCGTCCGTCCGTCCGTCTGTCCGTCTGTCTGTCTGTCCGTCCGTCTGTAAACTTTTCACATTTTTGACTTCTTCTCAAGAACCACTGGGCCAATTTTGACCAAACTTGGTACAAAGCATCCTTGGGTAAAGGGGAATTTAAATTGTTAAAATGAAGGGCCAAGTCCCCTCACAAGGGGAGATAATCAAGAGAAGACAAAAATAGGGTGGGGTCATTAAAAAATCTTCTTCTCAAGAACCACAGGGCCAGTAAAGCTGAAACTTATTTGGAAGCATCCTGGGGTAGTGTAGATTCTAAATTGTTCAAATCATGACCCCCGGGGGTAGGGCGGGGCCACAATGTGGAATCAATGTTTTACATAGAAATATATAGGAAAAATCTTTAAAAATCTTCTTCTCAAGAACCACTGGGCCAGAAAAGCTAAAACTTACGTGGAAGCATCCTGGGGTAGTGTAGATTCTAAATTGTAAAAATCATGACCCCCGGGGGTAGGGCGGGGCCACAATAGGGAATCCAAGTTTTACATTGAAATATATAGGAAAAATCTTTAAAAATCTTCTTCTCAAGGACCACTGGATCAGAAAAGCTGAAACTTATGTGGAAGCATTCTGGGATAGTGTAGATTCTAAATTGTAAAAATCATGACCCCCGGGGGTAGGGCGGGGCCACAATAGGGAATCCAAGTTTTACATTGAAATATATAGGAAAAATCTTTAAAAATCTTCTTATCAAGGACCACTGGACCAGAAAAGCTGAAACTTATGTGGAAGCATCCTGGGGTAGTGTAGATTCTAAATTATAAAAATCATGACCCCCGGGGGTAGGGCGGGGCCACAATAGGGAATCCAAGTTTTACATTGAAATATATAGGAAAAATCTTTAAAAATCTTCTCAAGGACCACTGGACCAGAAAAGCTGAAACTTATGTGGAAGCATCCTGGGGTAGTGTAGATTCTAAATTGTAAAAATCATGACCCCCGGGGGTAGGGCGGGGCCACAATAGGGAATCCAAGTTTTACATTGAAATATTTAGGAAAAATTTTTAAAAATCTTCTTCTCAAGAACCACTGGGCCAGAAAAGCTGAAACTTATGTGGAAGCATCCTGGGGTAGTGTAGATTCTAAATTGTTCAAATCATGACCCCAGGGGTAGGGCGGGGCCACAATAGGAAATACAAGTTTTACATTGAAATATTTAGGAAAAATCTTTAAAAATCTTCTTCTCAAGAACCACTGGGCCAGAAAAGCTGAAACTTATGTGGAAGCATCCTCAAGTAGTGTACACTCTAAATTGTTCAAATCATGACCCAGGGGATAGGGCGGGGCCACAATAGGGGGAATCCGAAGTTTTACATTGAAATATATAGGAAAAATCTTTAAAAATCTTCTCAAGAACCACTGGACCAGAAAAACTGAAACTTATGTGGAAGCATCCTGGGGTAGTGTAGATTCTAAATTGTTCAAATCATGGCCCCTGGGGGGAGGGTGGGGCCACAATAGGTATTACAAGGGGGGAGTCTGGTAATGAACAGCATGGCCAAAGTTACTCAGGTGAGCGATGTGGCCCATGGGCCTCTTGTTAAAACAATTAAGGTCATTAATTCAAATACGGGGAGGCTTAGAATCATTAAATCTTGTAAGATGATGCATCTTGGGGCCATAAAACATATTTATTAAAAAGTAGGGCACAGTGACCTACTTTTTGAACTTTGCAGGCATTCGATTTCAAAGCATTTTAGAGGCATAATTTGGACATTTTAAGTCCTATGATCATAAAACTTTGTCAGTTGATGCATCTTGGGTCTTCAAAAAAGGTCAACTGAAAAGTAGGTCACCGTGACCTACTTTTCAATTTATATGACTATAATTAAATATTTCAGGTACTAATTGGCTTAGAATCATCAAACTTTGTCAGTTGATGCATCTTGGGTCTTCAGAGTAGATCGACTAAAAAGTAGGTCACCGTGACCTACTTTCGGAAAATTTATGGCTTTAATAAAATATTTCGGGTACTAATTGGCTTAGAATCATAAAACTTTGTCAGTTTATGCGTCATGGGTCCTCGGAGTACAACAACTGAAAAGTAGGTCACGGTGACCTACTTTTGAAAATTTATGGCTTTAATCAAATATTTCGGGTACTAATTGGCTTAGAATCATTAAACTTTGTCAGTTGATGCGTCTTGGGTCCTCGGAGTACAACAACTGAAAAGTAGGTCACGGTGACCTACTTTTGAAGTTTTATGGCTGTATTTAATATTTTCAGGAATTATTTGGCTTAGAATCGTCAAAATTTGTCAGTTGATGCATCTTTGGTCCCCTGAGTAGGTTGACTGAAAAGTAGGTCATTGTGACCTCCTTTTGAAAATTTATGGCTGTAATTAAATATTTTGGGTACTTATTGGCTAGAATCATCAAACTTTGTCAGTCGATGTATCTTTGGTCCTCGGAGTACAACAACTGAAAAGTAGGTCACAGTGACCTACTTTTGAAAATTTATGGCTTTAATTAAATATTACAGGTACTAATTGGCTTAGAATCATCAAACTTTGTCAGTTGATGCATCTTGGGTCCTTGGAGTAAAACAATTGAAAAGTAGGTCACTTTGACTTACTTATAAAATTTTATGATTATAATTTTAAAAAATACTTTAGGTATTAATTGGCTTAGAATCATCAAACTTAGTTGATGGGTCCTCAGAGAATGACAAGTGATAAGTAGGTCACCATGACCAACTCTCAGGTACTAATTGGCTTAGAATCATCTTGGGTTCTCAGAGTGTGAATTGGAATTTCAAGGGTTCATGTAAATATACAGGATACTTCGAGGCTTCAAATAGAAGTGATAGGTTGTACAGTTTATCAGAAGAGCGATTCAAGGCCCATGGGCCTCTTGTTTAAACTTAAAAGCAGACATGGGATTTTTTTTTTACAAAATCGTTGGTCTTAATTATATATTTAAAAAAAAATTAATCCAAAAAATAACACTGTTGAAATAAAAGATATGTCTCATAAGTTTTAATTCAAGGGAAAAGAATAAGGTACCATTTATAAGAATTAGTTTTACTGAGTGCACAGTAATTTATTGTAAGATTTTATCTGAAGACGAGAGACTAATTAGTGTATCTTGTAGGATACTATCTGTATGCTGAGGCCAGTCATGGAAGCCCAGCTGATAGCACAGCTGTCACCTTCCCAGAATTCTCTGTTGACAGTGTCACAAAGATGCTCAGTTTTGACTATCATATGTTTGGAGATGATGTTGGAAGTTTAATAGTTCAGGTAACTCATCATTGTGTGCATACATATTTGTTTTCTGACATTCAAGCAATTGGTTTCATTACAAACATCCTCCTACATGTAGTATGAAAAAAATACAGGTAAACTTTCTTATCTCCAACATCGATATCTCAAATACCATAGGTATGTTAAAGGGAGTTGGAAGTCACCTTGATATCTCGAATCCTCATATAACTTCAAGACTTTCCTCGATCTCATCAAGTTTTAGATAACATACCTTTTTAAACAGAATTTATTTTTGTAAAGCTAGTATATTATCACATGACTTTAATATTAATTGAAATAACATGGTATACCCCGCTCTGTACGGAATTTGGTTTGGTCACGTTATTTGACAGTCATGTGATAAATGCATTTAATGTGTACTGTATGTAGGTCATCAACAAATTTCAATATCGCAAGGGCATACCCTAGTTAGAATTAAAAATTTCAGTAATAAATTGTATCTATATAACTTGTAGTTTATGAAAAGTGCTGCTGCTTTAAATAGAATTTGCATTTTATTAGTTTAAATTTCAAGTTATTTGGCTCTAGTCGAAATATGTGTGACCTTTACCATGTATTTTATTTATTAGGTCTTTCCACCTTTCTGTGGAAAGACCTCTTGAAATGCTTCTGTTTATTAGGTCTTTCCACCTTTCTGTGGAAAGACCTCTTGAAATGCTTATGTTTATTATTATTATTAGGTCTTTCCACCTTTCTGTGGAAAGACCTCTTGAAATGCTTATGTTTATTATTATTATTATTATTATTATTCTTTTTCTTCCAGGACTTTTGAAACCGCAAGACTTATCGAAAAACTTTATAGTTCATGATACTGGATATTAAAAGTTATTCCGAAAATCGACCCAACGTGTTTGACCTATGACCTCTTACGAAGTTATTGCCCCTTTCGCAAGAAAAGCTTGTTATCGCTACTCCTTCGAAACCTTAAATCGTAGAGATACAAAATCTTCACCAATGTCTTCGACTACTTGAGAGGACTTTTCAATCTATTCATTGCGAAATGATTTGTCGACCCCTTCCATGAGTTATCGCCCCTGAAAGTTTATGAAGTTTACGAATAATGAAAAATTTTCAAAACAATAAGTCGTAGAGACATGGAACCAACTGCATTAGATTCTTTGACCTCGGACCTTGAAATTTTTGTAAAGGTCAAATGTCAAGGTCATTCAAAATTTGATAAATTAAGCTATTTTTAAATCTCTTTTGTCTTTCATTATATACTAAATCTCTTTGCATCTTTAATATGTCCTTTTAAAACTATTTCAAAGATTTCATACTTGTCCCCTAAGATTTACCCCTTTAAAAGTTATTGCCCCTTTTACTGAAAACCTTGTTATCGCTACTCCTCTGAAACCGTAAACCGTAGAGACACAAAACCTTCACTAATGTCTTCAGGGTCTTTAGACACAACTTCAATCTATTTAGTGCGAAAGTATCCGATGACCCCTTATATGAGTTATCGCCCTTTAACGTCTTTGCTTTTACTATTAAACCTTATAACATTAAAACTAATAGTTGTAGAAGCATAGGCTCAAGTGCAATGTGACCCTTGACCTTTGACCTTGAATATTTGTTCAAGGTCAAAGGTCAAGGTCATTTCAAAATTTTTTAAAATTTTTATTTTTTCTTCATTTTTTTTTATCTTTCAAGCCATTTATGGACTCTTTTTGTATAAGAATTAACTTTAGAGAGTAAAATATGAAAAATACATGTATATGAAATTTATAGAAGGTGGAAAGACATCAAATTGTTCTTTTTCTTCCCGGACTTTTAAAACCTAAAGACCTATCAAAAAACTTAATAGTTCATGATACTGGATATTAAAAGTTATTCTGATAAACGACCCCCCGTGTTTGTCCTATGACCCATTACGCAGTAATAGCCCCTTGCATTACAAAGCTTGTTATTGCTACTCCTTCAAAATGAAACCTTCACAAATGTCTTCGAAAATTGAGGAGACTCTTCAATCTCTTCATTGTGAAAGTATTTGTTGACCCCCTTCAATGGATTATTGCCCCTGAAAGTTCTTGATATTTACAAATAATGAAAAAAATTCAAAATTATAGGTCATAGAGACATGGGACTAACTGCATTAGAGTTCTTGACCTCAGACCTTGAAATTTTTGTGAAGGTCATAGGTCAAGGTCATTCCAAATATGAGAAATTTTGCTCTTTCTATAGCTATTTTGTCTTTCAACATACATTAGATATCTTTGCATATTCAATATGTCCTCTTAAAACTATTTCACAGATTTCATTCTTGTCCCCTAAGCTTGACCCTTTAAGAAGTTATTTCCCCTTGTGCAAAAAATCTTGTTATCACTACTCTGATGAAACCGTAAACCGTAGACACACCAAAACTTCATTAATGTCTTCAGACACAAGTTTAATCTATTCAGTGCAAAAGGATCTGATGACCCCTTATATGAGTCAATGCCCTTTAACGTCTTTGTCCTTACATTTAAACCTTATAACTTCAAAACTAAAAGTCTTAAAAATATACGACTAAATGCGCTGTGACCTTCGACCTTTGATCTTAAAAAAATATTCAAGGTCAAAGGTCAAGGTCACTTCCCCCCATTTTTTTTTTTATATCTTTTCACAATTTCTTGTTTCTTTTTCATGGAATTTAATCTATTTAGTGTGAAAGGATCTGATGACCCCTTATATGGGTTATTGCCCTTTAATGACTTTGCGCATTACTGTTAAACCTTATAACTTAAAAACCTTAAGTGTTAGAAAGATCGGACCAAATGCTGTGTAACCTTGACATTTTATTATTTTTGAAAGATTTTAAAAAATATTCAAGGTCAAATGGTCAAGGTCATTTCATTTTTTTTTCCATTTTTTTTTTTTAAAATCTTTTCAACAATTTTTCGTATCTGGAATTTAATTTCACCTATTCAGTGTGAAAGGATCTGATGACCCCTTATATGGGTTATTGGCCTTTAATGTATTTTGCACATACTGTTAAACCTTAAAACTTGAAAACTTAAAGTGGTAGAAAGATCACACCAAATGCTGTGTGACTCTTGACCTTAAAAATCATTCAAGGTCAAAGGTCAAGGTCTTTTCATTAAAAAAATCAGTTTTTGAGAGCTGTTAAACAATTTTTGTTTCTTTTTCATCAAATTTAATTTCATCTATTCAGTGCAAAAGGTTCTGATGACCCCTTATATGGGTTATTGCCCTTTAACATCTTTTCTCATACTGTTTAACCTTAAAACTTAAAAAGTAAAAGTGGTAGAAAAGTCAGACCAAATGCAGTGTGACCTTTGACCTTTGACCTAAAAATTATTTAAGGTCTCAGTCAAGGTTATTACTTTCTTTTTTTAAATATTAATGTTTTTTTTTTTTTTTTTTTTTTTTTTTTTTTTACATTTTTGAACAATTTCTTAATTCCTTTTCATGGAATTTAATTTAATCTATTATGTGCAAAAGGATATGATGACCTCTTATATGGGTTATTGCCCTTTTATGTTTTCGTGCTTAATAATAAACCCTATAACTTTAAGCCATAGAAACATGGGACCAATTTCAATGACAACTTTACCTACGGTCTTCAATTTTAGATCAAGGATATACAATATATAAGAAGTTTTTTTTTTAAAAAATCCATCTTTTTTCCCTTTCAACATATTTTTAATATCATTGCACTATTAATATGTCCTTTTAAATCCAATTTCATTTTTATTCTTAAATTGTAAGTTTGGCCCCTTTTAAAGTTCCTGCCCCTTTGATGAGAAAATTTGTTATGGCTATTCCTCTGAAACTGTAAACTTTACAGGTACGAAACCTTCACCAATTTCTTCAAGATATCAAGGAGACTTTTCATTATATTCATTACCAAATATTTCATCAACTCCTTTAATGAGTTATTGCCCATGAAAGTTTATATTAAGGAATAATGAAAAATTTTCAAAACAATGTCACAGTGACATGGGATCAACTGCATTAGGTTTTTAACATAAGACCATAAAATTTAGGTCAAGATAAAATGTCAAGGTCATTCAATATAAGTGAAATTTAGATCTTTAATTTGTCCTTTTAAAACTATGTTTAAGATTTTATTCTTCTGCCCCTAAGCCTGATCTATTTTAAGGTTACCTGTATTGACCTCTTGAATATAAATTTTGTTGTTGCTTTTCCACTGAAACTATTCAACTTTAGTTTTTCAAGACAAAGATTCAAATTATTAATTGTAAAAGAATTCACCAATACCTCTAATGACTTATTGCAATGGAAAACTTTGGTGTTTACAAATTATTAAAAATGTTCAAAACAGTAAGTTGTAGCGATATGGGATCAACCTTTGATTTTAAAATTTAGATCAAGATCAAAAGTCAAGTTCATTAAAATTTTGAAGGATTTAGTTCTTTTCTATCGCTCTCAACATATTTTAAATATGATTGCACTATGAATGTGCCCCTTTGAAACTAATTTAAATTTTCCTATGTCCAAATCATTTAAGAGTTAACCAACATTTCTTTATGAATTATTGTCCCTAAATGTTTTGTTGACTATTACATTATAATAATTAGAGACACTGTAATTCTATAGACATGGTACATGTACCCATTGCATAAGATATCTTTATCCTTGAAATTCAAGGTCAAAGTCTTTCAAAAATAATAAAATGTCAACTTTTTTAATACCTCTCTTCAATTTAAGATAAGTTATATATCATAGCATCTTATCATTTGATTTTTAATAACAATTTCTTTCTTTCAATTCTTTGCCAAACCACTCTAAAAGTTATTGCCCCTTGCACGACACTCCTCTGAAACTGTTTACCATAGAGATGCAAGAACTTGCACTAATGTCTGCAATTAATTCAGAATTTTCTCATCTATTTAATTAATGACCCTATTAAAATTTGTTGCTCCTAAAGATTTATACGTTTACAATTAATAAGAATTTTGTTAAAGATATTTTTGTAGCGAAATGTTACCAACTGCATTAGAGACTTAAACTTT